GTGAAATGGGGAGGTTACCTTAGGGATGCACTTTGGATGTGGTCTCATTGTAATCTTGCCTGGAAAGAATAACGGGGGGCGGGGAGGAGGATGCACCATCAGAGCTCCTATTCTCCTAGCTGAGGTAATCGCTATCAGGAAGGCCATTTACATTGATAGATACATAAGTGAACAGGTGGCCAATGGTTCAAAGGGCCTAGTCAATCCTTTCAGTACCAGGTTGAGGTCCCATGAGGGAGTAGGGAGTCGAGGTTGCAGGAAGAGATACTTCTTAGTGGTTGGGTGTGACAGCACTGATTATCCCTCAACAGGTTGGTGATGTGACATTGCACTCCATAATGTTTTATGGAAATATGCTTATGAGTGTAAATATGATGTAACTGGTATATGCTTTATGCAAAAGGTCTCTTGTAAGGTATCATTACAAAGCTTATAATCTACTGAGTGTGTTCATTCTATTTGTATGCATGTATCATTCTTGTATCTGGAGCTAGAAATATAACATATAACTCTGAGGTACTATTGTAATTATGCAAAGTGTGGGTCATTGATGATGGTTTAGAATCTTGATGGCTCCCATTGACTAGGACAATTAGTTGTAAATGGCTCTGTTTACTTGCAAGCCTTCCTGTGTTCATGTAAGCTAGCACAGGAAGAATGGTGGAATCCATCTGAAATCTGGTGCTTTTCCATTTAGATGGAGGGGTGGGGATCCAGAGAGACAAAAGATTCCCACCTTGTGCCAAAGCTATAAAAGGGAGTGAAAGAGAACAAAGGGGGTTCCAGTAATGAGAAAGCCCCTGCTTTTCACCTAAGATGCCTGCCAGAACTAACAAGGACTGTACCACGGGAAAGGATTGGGCCCAGGCTAGGAAGGAGTCTAGTCTGTGAAAGAAGCTTATTGGAACATCTCTGAGGGTGAGATTTACCTGTAATCTGTTTCTTAATGTATTAGGCTTAGACTTGTGTGTTTTGTTTTATTTTGCTTGGTAACTTACTTTGTGCTGTCTTTTATTACTTGAAACCACTTAAATCCTACTTTTTATACTTAAAATCACTTTTGTTTATTAATGAACCCAGAGTAAGTGATTAATACCTGGGGGAGCAAACAGCTGTGCATATCTCTCTATCAGTGTTATAGAGGGCGGACAATTCATGAGTTTACCCCGTATAAGCATTATACAGAGTAAACCGGATTTATTTGGGGTTTGGATCCCATTGGGAGCTGGGTGTCTGGGTGCTGGAGGCAAGTAACCTGCTGAGCAGTTTTTGGTTAAAGTCTGCAGCTTTGGGGGCATGGACCAGACTCTGGGTCTGGGTTGCAGCAGGCTAGTGTGTCTGGCTCAACAAGGCATGGTTCTGGAGTCCCAAGCTGCCAGGGAAAATGGGCTCAGAGGTAATCTCGGCATGTCAGGTGACAGTCCCAAGGGGGTCTCTGTGACCAAACCCATCACAGGTGAAAAGCTGTAATAGCTGCTAGGTGGACCCTGAGAGAGCTTACAGATAGACCCAGTCTCTTTGGGTCAATGCCAAGGGAATGCTGACCCATCCCCACTCTGGAGCAGTAGCATGGACACTTCTTTGTTCAGGTGAGTGGTGAAAAGGTCTCTGGAGGGTGTCCCCCAATGTCTGAATACATCATGAAGTACTGTCGGATCTATCTCCCACTCGTGTTCATGTGGGAATTTGTGACTGAGACTGAGGTAAGACTGAGACTGAGATAAGCTGCAGACAGAGTAAAGTTGTGGGAGATGCACCAATTCCATAGACTCATTGATTTAGTGCATAGGGAAGGCTATCTTTGAGGAGAAAGAAGAATGGAGGATGTCAAGGAGTCGATGATGAGTGTTCTTGACTTCTTCCATTGGTATTTGGAGAGTGTCTGCAACTCTCTTTGCCAACTCCTGGAAGAGATGAAAGTTGTCTGCCAAAGATGGTGGGGAAGAAGGAGGATATGGTCCTTGGCGTCACTTCTTCCTCGGGACCACCTGCCTCTTCCTCCATGATCTCTTGTGGAGGTTCCGAAGCTCTGGATGTTGTGGCTGAGGGGTATGCCTCAAGTGTTCTTGGATGAGGCTGGGAGCCCGAAAGGCATGTTGGTGATATGCTGCCCATGGGTCCCAGTAAGATCACTGGGGGGGTGGTGGCATAGAGCCTGGTGGTGTTGCCCATGGACGGCTGTACCAGGATGGCAGTGGCAGGGCCATCTGTGGGCCTGGGCCTTGTTGGTACTGAGAACCATACGGAGCCTGAGCGGAGTACTGTGACGCCACCTCCTCTGGTTCGCTGTCTGAATTCTCACTAGCAAGTGGGGGAGCATGGCATGGCAGCAGTGATGATTCCCATGCCAAGCAGAAGCTCGGTGTGGAGGTCCCGGTACCAAGAAGTGGGGACTCCAGTATGTCTGGTATGCGGATTTCCCTGGAGTGGCGGAATTCCACCGGTGCCAACCATCTCTGTGTCTGTCGGTGCTGGGGAGGATGAAGATCTTGTCTGTACTGGCTGTTCTGGTGCTGGATGAAGCATCAATGATGGTACCGATGAAGACTTGCATACCGACAGTAAGCCTTTTTAGCAGAGTGCTTACTCCTGTGCCTCATTGCTGATGACTCGGTGCCCGTGCCCATCGGGTCCATGGAAATGTCAGTGGTACTAGCTGCTGCCAGTTTACATGAGCCATGGATACTGGACTGAGAAGGTCTCGGTGCCAACGGGGTCGAAGATACCGAGCAAGACGGAGACCACTTACGGCTATCTCAGGGCTCATTATGGGGACTTCCCGCTCTCTTCTTAGATAGCTTGTGAGAGGGGTGAGCAATCTGTTTCTTTGTCCCAAAGCCTTTAGATGTAGGGGGCTGTGGGGAAGACTCATGTTTGCCAGGTGACTCATAGCGCAGGTCCTGTGAGGGCCTGAGAGATACCCCCATGAAGATAATCTTCTGCTGGAGCTCTCTGTCCTTATGGGATTGTGGCCAGAGTTGCTGGCAGAGACCACAGTTCTGCTGGATGTTGTCTTCCCCAATGCAGCGAATGCACTGGGAATGCTTGTCTGCAATCAGGATCGCCTCCTTGCAAGTGAGGCACTTCTTGAAGCCCAGTGAACTGGGCATACCCCATTGCAGGGGGAGGAAGAAAAGTGGAAAAATATTTTTTTTAAATTCTTTTGGGTGAAGAACAAAAGGGGTAAAGACTAAAACTAAACTATACTATACTAACAGACTAACTAACTATATAAATGCAAATAGAGCAATGATCCAAATGGACTGCAAGGGGCTCCATCTCTAGCCAGGGCGATTCAGAGGGAACTGAGGTGAGTTAGTCCACATGCGCCAGCTAGCCTTGTGACACAGCATGAGGCGAGACAGTGCATCTGTGGGCCCAATGGACACTGCTACCAAAGTTCTCCAATCAGCAATGCAGGGAGGCAAGCACACATACAGTGGGGCACCTACAGGGACACTACTCGAAGAAGAAACACCTGTTTATTATGGAATGTTTCCATAGTTATTAAGGTTGAAGCTAGTTCCCCATTACAAGCCAGAGTTCCACAGCCCTTCACACTGCCCAAATGGCTTGAGGAGACTGGCTGGACACCTAACCCATTCATTGCCAGACTCTCTGGTGCTTGGGGTAGAAGAAAAGGCCCTTGTGTTTTGCGTTTTCACTGGACTTCACTTTCAATCTTAATTCTTTCTAACAAAGTGTTTTGTTTTCCAATTGCAGCTCGGAGAGAGCCTTTGTCCGATGCACTGCATTGTAAGAGTAACATGCATCAGCTCTGTGTGGCCAGGTGAAGAGGAGACTGGAAGGTGACAGCTCTTTGTTGGAAAGGTGCCTCCTACTGGCCAATTTACAAAGCAGTATTGAGGTGTGTCTGAGGTAAGGCAGCTCACTCCCCTGGTTACGCTGTAAGGAATGACCCCCAGCCAGCAGGAAGGGCTCTAGAGCGAAGGAATCAGCATAACCTGATGAAAGTAGGAGTTGGGCGAGCCAGTCTTGGATCAAATGCAAGGCTTTGTGGTTTGCCGTTATAGAGCGTGAGCAAGAGGGAGAAGAGGAGGAAAGCTACAGTGAGCCAGAGTCCTTGAAGCCAGGCCGAGGCAGGGGCATGTGGACAGCACAGTATTAATCAGTCAGTGTTGAAGAGTTTGGTGGAGAGATTTTTCCCATCAATATTTCAGCTTGAAATTCAGCAGTGACAGAGGGCTCCGGTTTCAGAAGTGCCCACTACAAATCTTGGGCCATGGCAAGTATTTACCACACTTTGTTCAGGGAACTATTTAGAGGAAACCTGAGAGCCCGATCAGGATTTCAGACCTGGCTTCTCAGGTCGCCTGCTGTGAGATGATAATGCCAATTCTGCAGCTGCCATTCTCTCCTGCTGCCAAAGAGCAGAGCCAGGGACAGAGACAAAAGTGTTCCCATCTATTAATAGCAAGCCAAGAGAGGGAGAGGACATGGAATTTCTGTGGCTGGGTACCAGGTGGGGCAGCACGTTCACCTAGCAGGCTGGCACTGCCATCTTCCCCTGGCCCCTGCTGGTAGTGAGGACAGTAAACATGTGACTGGCGCATTGCCATTTCATGGCTGGGGCTAGTGGTGCCCCAGGGGGGAGAGATGGAAGGGACTGGGGTGTCAGAGGACAGAGACTGGAACCCTAATGGGTGGCCAGGGTGGGGAGGAAAGGTCATTGCACCCCCCCCACACAAAGGTCATTGCACGCCCCCACACACAAAGTGGCAAATGTCCCTAATCAAACTCCTCCCCGCTGAATGATCCATCCATACATCTCCAAGGCGCAAACCCCTCTTTGCTATCAAACTGTCCTGTATCCTGAGGCAACACCCTTTAAGAGGTAAGCCTTACCACTAGGGTGCTCCCTTGTGCCTGAGCACAGCGTTGCAGGGGACTTTGCCTCACACTCCCTCTGGTGGCCACTTCCTTGACTGCGATCCTCAGCACCAGCTCTGTGTTGCACAGTACACTGGGTTTCTTCTTACCTTAGGTCTGCAGCGACCAGCAGCTTGAGGCAGGTCAGGTCCCCCTTGGTTGCTGCATAGTGCGCTGGCACTGCTCCTTTGTGTGTCTCCATGGCTGCATCATAGCCTGCCTACAGCAACCACTGCACAGCCTCTGCATGGCCAAAACAAGCAGCCAAGTGCAATAGAGAGGCCCCCGAGGCATCCTGCTCCTGCAGAGAGAGGGAGAGCAGAACTCCAGGGGCTCGGCTGGGACATACCTATTGCCTCAGAGGGGCTGAGAGGAGGCAGGGCCATGACTCACTCTATCTGCCTGACATGCTGGGGAATTGAGGGACTGCTCCTGAGGCACTGGGGCAGCCTGCACACCCTCCAGCCTAGCAGGGAGCTATGGGAGCATTGTGCATCCCTGAAACAAAATCCCTCTCCCGCTTCCTCTGGGGTGGGGCAGCTTGTGAGTATCAGGTACAATGCAGACCTTGGTCAGGAGTGTCCTGTGGTCACAAAGGATTGGCTGTGACTGGGACTGCACCTGTGCAGGGGCATACAGGCAAGTAAGAACTCCCAAACACCTGCACAGGCTACCCAGACCTTGGGTCTGGATGTACAGGAGTAAGGAGAACTGCACACCTACCTACCTCCCAAGGACAGACTGGTGGAGAATGAACCTTAGTTATTTCTCCACAACACACCAGCCAGCAATGCTGAGTCAGGATGGGGCAGTAATTTGCTGTTGGCAGCCAAGAGCAAACAACTATGTCCCTGGAACAAGGTGAGAACAGGATAGGAGGCTGTGGCTTCCTGAGCCACAACCCCTTCCCAGGGATGCTCTTGGGATGGGGAAGCCATGCATTGCCCTTTACCATGACCTAGAGCACGGGAAGGCAACCTCTGGCATGCGTGCCGAAGGTGGTACATGAGCTGATTTTCAGTGGCACTCACTCTGCCTGGGTCCTGGCCACCAGTCCTGGGGGCTCTGCATTTTAATTTAATTTTAAATGAAGCTTCTTAAACACTTTAAAACCTTATTTACTTTACATACAACAATAATTTAGTTATATATTATAGACTTATAGAAAGAGACCTTCTAAAAACGTTAAAATATATTACTGGCACGCGAAACCTTCAATTACAGTGAATAAATGAAGACTTGGCACATCGCTTCGGAAAGGTTGCCGACCCCTGACCTAGAGACACAAGCAAGCCCAACATTTTTAGCATGGATTTTCCTCATGGCTTAGGCCTATCTTTAGTTCTGATGCACCTGTTTCTCAGGGAGAATGCTATTTGTCCACATAGTGAGTCATAAGATACTAGCTTTATGCCAGAATCCACCTAGAAGCCTTTCCTTCTGCCTCTTCTTCCTCAGTCCTGTATGCACAAAGAGAAAGAGAAAACAGAGAAATATATTGGCTGCAAAACAATGATCCTGAATTACCCAATTTGTCATCTAGGTTTGCACCATGGCAAACTGATACTTATCACCCAGCTGGTGGACTTAACAGGTAAGTACCTGGTTGTTTTTGACATTAATTCCTGCTCAGACACAAAGGTGAGCCAAGGGGATTCTCTGAGGGTATGTCTACACTGTGAAATTAGGTCGATTTTATAGAAGTCGATTTTTTAGAAATCGATTTGATACAGTCGATTGTGTGTGTCCCCACTAAGCGCATTAAGTCGGCGGAGTGCGTCCACAGTACTGAGGCTAGCGTCGACTTTTGGAGCCTTGCACTGTGGGTAGCTATCCCACAGTTCCCGCAGTCTCCACCGCCCATTGGAATTCTGGGTTGAGCTCCCAATGCCTGATGGGGCAAAAACATTGTCATGGGTGGTTTTGGGTACATGTCGTCAGGCCCCCCTCCCTCCCTCCCTGAAAGCAACGGCAAACAATCGTTTCTCACCTTTTTTCTTGGGTTACCCGTGCAGACGGCATACCATGGCAAGCATGGAGCCCGCTCAGCTCACCGTCACTGTACGTCTCCTGGGTGCTGCTGGCAGACGCGGTACTGCATTGCTACACAGCAGCAGTTCCTTGCCTTCGCAGCAGCAGACGGTGCAGTACGACTGCTAGCCGTCATCGTTGTCTCCTGGGTGCTCCTGGCCGACCTTGGTGAGGTCAGTCGGGGGCGCCTGGGCAGACATGGGTGCTCCTGGCAGACCTCAGTGCTCCTGGCAGACCGCGCCTGGACATAAATGGGAGTGACTCCAGGTCATTCTCTTCTTTAAGTTTCATCTCATGGAGATTCAGTCCTGCCTGGAATATCATGCGAGCTTCTGCCTCAGGCTGCTCTCCCAGCTGGCAGCACCGCGAGGTCGCACCTACCCCAGCCTACCCCTTACTCCCATGGCTCATGAAGCCTGGACAGTAGTAAGGAGCAGTTCAACTATAGGCTGAGCAAGTGCATAATGGTGGTAGAATGTGACTTTGGACGTTTAAAAGCTCTCTGGTACTGTTTGCTGACTAGGCTGTTTGCGATTAGAAGAGCACAGCAAGGCATGCTGCGCATCACAGAGGCTTTGAAAACCAGTTTTATGACTGGCCAGGCTTCGGTGTGACAGTTGTATGTGTTTCTCCTTGATGCAAACCCGCCCCCTTTGTTGATTTTAATTCCCAGTAAGCCATGTCGTCAGTCGCCCCTCCCTCCGTGAGAGCAACGGCACACAATTGTTTCGCGCCTTTTTTCTGCGCAGACGCCATACCACGGCAAGCGTGCAGCCCGCTCAGCTCAGCCGCCGCTGTTGTGTCCTGGGTGCTGCTGGCAGCAGATGGTGCAGTAGGACTGCAAACTGTCATCAACAAACGACCGCTTCCGCTGCCACTCTGCTCTCCTGCAGACGCCATACCATGGCAAGCATGGAGCCCGCTCAGATCACTGCGGCAGTTATGAGCACTGTAAACATCACGCGCATTATCCTGCAGTATATGCCGCACCAGAAAGTTCAAAAGCAGGCGAGGAAGCGACGGCAGCGCGGTGACGAGAGTGATGAGGACATGGACACAAACTTCTCTCAAAGCACGGGCCCATGGTGGTAATGGGGCAGGTTCATGCCGTGGAATGCCAGTTCTGGGCCCAGGAAACAAGCACAGACTGGTGGGACCACATAATGTTGCAGGTCTGGGGTGATTCCCAGTGGCTGCAAAACTTTTGCATGCGTAAGGGCACTTTCATGGAACTTTGACTTGCTTTCCCGTGCCCTGAAGCGCAAGAATACCAAGATGAGAGCAGCCCTCACAGTTCACAAGCAAGTGGCGATAGCCCTGTGGAAGCTTGCAACGCCAGACAGCTACCGGTCAGTCGGGAATCAATTTGGAGTGGGCAAATCTACTGTGGGGGCTGCTGTGATCCAAGTAGCCAATGCGATCACTGAGCTGCTGCTATCAAGGGTAGTGACTCTGGGAAATGTGCAGGTCATAGTGGATGGCTTTGCTGCAATGGGGTTCCCTAACTGTGGTGGGATGATAGACAGAACGCATATCCCTATCTTGGGACCGGAGCACCAAGGCAGCCAGTACATAAATCGAAAGGGGTACTTTTCAATGGTGCTGCAAGCACTGGTGGATCACAAGGGACGTTTCACCAACATCAATGTGGGATGGCCGGGAAAGGTACATGACGCTTGCATCTTTAGGAACTCTGGTCTGTGTGAATGGCTGCAGCAAGGGACTTATTTTCCAGACCAGAAAATAACCGTTGGGGATGTTGAAATGCCTATAGTTATCCTTGGGGACCCAGCCTACCCCTTAATGCCATAGCTCATGAAGCCATACACAGGCACTCTGGACAGTAGTGAGGAGCTGTTCAACTATATGCTAAGCAAGAGCAGAATGGTGGTAGAATGTGCATTTGGATGTTTAAAAGCGCGCTGGCGCAGTTTACTGACTCGGTTAGACCTCAGCAAAACCAATATTCCCATTGTTATTGCTGCTTGCTGTGTGCTCCACAATATCTGTGAGAGTAAGGGGGAGACGTTTATGGAAGGGTGGGAGGTTGTGAAAACCAGTTTCATGACTGGCCAGGCTACGGTTTGAAAGTTCTGTTTGTTTCTCCTTGATGAAAACCCGCCCCCTTGGTTCACTCTACTTCCCTGTAAGCCAACCGCCCTCCCCTCCCACCTTTGATCACCGCTTGCAGAGGCAATAAAGTCATTGTTGTTTCAAATTCATGCATTCTTTATTAATTCGTCACACAAATGGGGTGATAACTGCCAAGGTAGCCCAGGAGGGGTGGGGGAGGAGGGAAGCACTGGGTGGGGTGGTGGAGGAGGGAAGGACACTTCAAAATTTATTGAATGTCAGCCTTCTGTTGCTTGGGCAGTCCTCTAGGATGGAGTGGTTAGGTACCCAGAGGCCCCCCCACCACATTCTTGGGCATCTGGGTGAGGAGGCTATGGAACTTGGGGAGGAGGGTGGTTGGTTACACAGGGGCTGCAGCGGTGGTCTGTGCTCCTGCTGCCTTTCCTGCACCTCAACCATACGCCGGAGCATATCAGTTTGATCCTCCAGTAGCCTCAGCATTGCTTCCTGCCTCCTCTCATCACGCTGAAACCACCTATCATCTTGCTCCCACCACTTCTCCTCTTGCTCCCGCCACCTGTCCTCGTGTTCATTTTGTGCTTTCCTGCACTCTGACAGTGTCTGCCTCCATGTATTCTGCTGGGCTCTGTCAGTGTGGGAGGACTGCATGAGCTCAGAGAACATTTCATCACGGGTGCGGTTTTTTTGCCTTCTAATCTTCGCTAGCCTCTGGGACGGCGATGATAGGGGGAGCATTGAAACATTTGCAGCTGTGGGAGGAAAAAAAGGGAGAGTAGTATTTAAAAAGACACATTTTAGAGAACAATGGGTAGACTCTTTCACGGTGAACCAAGCTGTTAACATTACGTAGCAAGTGTGCTTTCTTTACAAGGTCACATTTTGCCTCTTATATTGAGGGCCTGCCGGTTTGGTGTGAGAGATCATGCACACAGGGCCAGCGGGCAACAGAATTCAGCTTGCAGACAGACATGGTAAGCCACTGTCTTTTGGCTTCTTTAACCTTCATAACATGTGTGAATGGTTTCAAACAGCAGCGCCCTCATTTCCCATACTAAGCACCCATTGGGTTGGCCATTTAAAATGGGTTGGCCATTTAAAAGGATGGGCTGTGGTTTTAGGGTTAACGTGCAGCACAAACCCAACTAACCCCCCCACACACACACCCAATTCTCTGGG